GGCGGCGCCGCCGGGTCGGCGCCGCCCGGCCCGGTCTTGTCAGAGGGCTTGGAGTTGGCCGGGTCCTGCGCGTCGGCGTCCGCCGGTCTGGAGGCCATGCTGCCGGAGCGTCCCAGCCTGAGCGGAGGGGGAGAGCATCCACGTCAGCCAGAGGGCTACAGGGGTCCGCCGCCCCGGACCCTGTTACTCCCCAGTGTCCCTCCCTCTGCAGTCCGTCCATCCACCACTCCATCAACCTGGCTTAACCAATAAACCCTACACCCACACAGGCCTCATTAATAAATCAGTACAAGCTAACACACTATCATCCCCCTGCAGCCCCACTGGAGCTCAGCAGTGTGAGCCTGGTCAGTACCTGGATGGGAGACCTCCTGGAGGAAAGCTAAGGCTGCTGCTGGAAGAGGTGTTAGTGGGGCCAGCAGGGGGCACTCACCCTGCGGTCTGCGTGGGTCCTCATGCCCCAGGATATTGAGGTCGTGACTCTCTGTGGTCATTAAAAATCGCAGGGCGTTTCTCTCAATGGTAGGGGTGTTACCCCGGCTGTCCTGGCCAAATTGCCCCCTGGCCTTTACCAATTATGGCCTCCTAATAAACCCCATCTCCGAACTGGCTTCATCACTCTGCTCTCCTCCCCACTGAGAGCTGGTGTGTGGTGAGTGGAGTGTCAAGAAAAGTGCTATATAAGTGTAAGCAATTATAATTATACATAATAAATCAGAAAACATCCCAAGACGCAGGCATGCCAATAGCCGTGTGCTTGTGTTAAGTGATTACATATTCTTCTAGGCCACAGTGATCAGAGCTTGTGTTGCTGGTGCTACAGCTCAGGCCAGACAACCAGCCGGCACGTCACCGATACCGACCAGACTAAGACGGGCGATGAGGGGGACACAGATAAAACAGCATATGGCCGTTTACTTCTTAACGACAAAACAAACAAAAACACACAGCACGCTTGCAGGGCCAGAGGAGAGCCCTCCCAAAGGGCACATGTAAATCTGCTATGTAAATACTGCAGCCCTACAGAAGCAGAAGATACTAATACGATTCTCTGTATGTAACACTACCGAGGGCTTCATTTAGCAGCAATCCATGCAGATAAAAATAAAAAAAGCACTGAATCGATGGGAGGGCAGTGCTGGCTAAGCACATTCACAGAAGCTGGTGTGGAGGGAGAGTGAGAGAGGGGACGATGGATTGACTGATTGATTGGATGGGACTGCTGGGCATCGTTGGAAGGAGTCTGTGCCCACGCCAGCACCCGGCTACAGCATTTCAGCAGCAAAAACCTCTGAAATATGTCATCACGTGTAAAGATATGACCCAAAGAGATAGGCCTCCCCAGCACGGAATTCAGAGGTCGTAAGACACGGGACGTGGCACAGACTGCGCCAGCGGCAAGCAGACTGGAACTCCAGTTCACTGCCTTGGGTTCAATCCGGCAAATTCCCCAAAAGGCCGAACTCCTGACTCACCCACAACAAGACCCGGTCATACCCAGTCTTGTCAGACAGATTTATTGCTGAAGCACTCATGTTGTCAAATGCTGCTTCTAAGAAAACATATTCAAACCTCAAACAAAACCACCCGTCAGCCCTGAAACTGATTTAAATATTCCTACCACACAGCCTGATAACTAATCTCGTCTTGACATGTTTTTTTTAAGAACTTCACTATCTAAGAACTTGAACTCCCATGAAAACCCTGTTTTAACCAGTCCTGTATTTTAGGGCAGAGACTGGCCTTTGAACACCTAACTCAGAATAGAGAGAGAGAGAGAGCTGTAATCTCCACGATTCCTTCTGGGAAGAAAGGAAATTCCACTGTAAAATCTACCCTTATTCGCCTGGAGATCATTCTTTTTGCTTTCAGATTCCCTGTTCTGAAAGAATTTTCAAGATTAAAGATTGATTTAACCAAACAGGCTATTCAAGCCAAAAGGCTTCTCTCCTCTGTAACTGCTCTGATGTTCTTCAATATCCCAGTTTTCAGGATGCTCACTACTGTACAATGAACAAAGTCTCTGCAGTATATCACTGGAAATGGAGCTGCTGGCCTCATTAACTTTAGCACAAAGGCTCCAGTCATGAATCCACAGACGCTGCGAGCAGCACAGCGAACACAGTGGACACTCACTCCCAGCCGTCTTCCACCTGCACTCCGATCGACTGGAATCTGGTCAGGACCGGGACCTCCTCCTTCTGCACGGGCTGAATGCAGTCCACCTGCCCAGAGACCCAAAAAGGAGAATTCGTCAACGCTGGGTCCGGACGAGGGCTCTTCTTCCCAAGAAACCCGCAAATCCCACCCTGCTGCCTGCAAGGGGCTTTGTGCTAATCAACGGCGTGAGGATTAACCAAACAGCAGCTGACTGGCTCGGGACAAAACCCCCCCACTGTGATCGTTATCCCCCCCCTGCAGCAACTTCATATTAAATCCACTGGCAGATACGAAGTTAAAAACACATGCCATTTTTGTCATATCACAAAGGAGTGCAATTTCAAAGATAATTAAGCAATCGCTGCCAGTTAATCGCAGTTCACATTGTAAATTTTCACTGTTAACTGCATGTTTCCAGCAACAGAACAGGTAATTGGAAGTCCCCTGGGCATGTCAGTACCATGCTTGACCAGCAGGGGGCGACGGTGCTCAGTTACGACCTGGGACAAGGTCAGGACCCCAGGCTGCCAGCCCCACTACCTGGATGCCGATGGACGAGAGCTTCCTCTTGGGGATGGGCTCAGGGCGGGCCTCCTCGGCGGTCAGGGTGCCCCTGTTGCTCTTCAGGGTGTCATGCTGGGGCTCCGCGGGGGGGGTGCCGGAGGGCGGGGGATCTCGGGGGGCGGCGACGGGCGGCAGGGCCGGGCTGCCCTTGGCCAGGCTGTTGGCCCGCGTGCTGTCGAGGCTGTCCGAGGAGTTGCTGAGCCCCGACTGGCTGTTGGCTTCGCTCTTGCGGTCCTGGCCGTCCAGGTAGATGTCCTGGGCCGACTCAGTGCTGCTCTGCACCGTCACCGAGATGAAGGGCTTGGAGGTGGTGCGGGGGGGCACTGGGGGGGGCGTCTTCTTACAGGTGGTTATGCATGTAGAAGCTGGAGGAGGGGGGAAGAGAGACAGGAGGGGAGGTCAGTTAGGGAATGGGCACTTCCAGTGCGATCGCTGGTCACCTACTCCCACACACTACCAGCACCAGCATCGACCTGCTTCTTCCAGAGTGTGCGTTGCACTGGAACTCTTTACCACTGCGTCAGCGACACTGATCTTGGTTAGCAATGGGGCTTTAGGAACCTCGCATTTAGAGTCCACAAATTTCAACATTGCATCACAAACGGATCACACCGCTTGCTGGCTGAACAACCAGAGCCTGGCTGAGTTCAGATCTTCACTGTCTTGCCTGGGGGTGGTGGCAGAAAACCTTACTGCACCAGTGAACCATTCCCTCCAGCTCTTCAAAGTCTCCCGGTCTCCGTTTGAAACTGACCGGATAAAAATGAAAGCCGGGCAAAGCTTTAGAGAGAATGAAGTGGAAAGGAGGGGCCAGTACACGAGATGAAGTCGTGAGACGCGTGGGGGTGTGGTGGCAGATGAGACCTCTCTGGGACACTACAAAAGCAGTGCCAATTCCCCCCCACCACCACCACCAACTCGATTGTACAAATGAACAACCAACCCAAAAACACCTGCCGAAAACTGGCACTGGGCCGGATATACAGCAAATGTCAGTAACTATGACTTTCTCTTAAATCTCAAAAACTTAAGAAAGAAACAGATGCCCTATCAAACAGGAATGAGGCCAGTGTGCTTTAAGCATGCAGTATGTGTGACCTTAAGGCAAGGCAGCAATTTGCACAATAAACGCCTAACCTGATTACATCGGGGTGCGGACGCGTGCCCCGAGACAGGAAACGCAGACAATTAGCCACTGTCTTTCATTTCCTCCTGCTTGCCTCATTAAGACCGTCTGCAAATCGCTGGCAGATAGGGCTTCCGACTGCCTGCGATCCAAGAGAACAGCAGGAGCAGGCAGCTGGAGAAATACAGGGAATCTCTGCCAGATCTGCCGTTTGAAACCTGCAATTAAAACGACTCAACTCGAGGCCTAACAGCACAAAGCCATTATTCGCAAAGAATCTATACAAGACCAGATTGCATCACCTTGAAACGGAGCAGAAAACAGTTCAACAGGACATCACCTTGTGGTACCATGGAAAAACAATACATCAGAGTTAGGAACAGGTAAAGGTTTAATCCATGCTGAAAAGAGACAATGTTTCGGTTGTGGGGCCTTCTTCAGTTGTGTGAAAGAAAGAGAAGAGAGACATTTCAGTTGTAGAGCCTTCTTCGCTTGAAACGCAACCGAAATGTTGCGTCTCTTCTCTTTTCAGCCTGGAACTGACCTTTTCCTGTTCCTTTGCAGCCTATGCGTGCTGACGCAGCTCCCTGCTTGAACTATATCAGATTTAGGGCTTTAATTGGAAACAAGCAAGAGATCTTCAACCCTTGCTGCTCCTTCAGCTCCACTGTCATCTCGGGAGTGTCATGCATCCTGCACGTATCCTTTAACGTGCGCACACTACTGAGCTACGGCAGTTCCCGAACCCGGAGGACGGACCCCCGCTCGCACCCCCGTGGCTGAGTGGAGCTGAGTGCCGGAGCCAGGGGTCCCAGCTGTTGAAGAGAAAAGTGTGCGGCTCCTCTCATTTCCCAGACCAATGATGTTAACAAGGGACAAGTAAAGGTTTATTCCACACTGAAAAGAGAAGAAAAGAAAGATTTCGGCTGTGGAGCCTTCTGCAGCTGAATAAGGCTCCACAGCCGAAATGTTGGGTCTCTTTTCAGCAAGGAATAAACCTTTACTTCTTCAATGAAGTTCACGGTTTCAGGAAGGGAATACTGTCACAGCAGGTGACACTGACCTCTTCAAGACAGGCCGAGGGAAGGCCTGACAGAATGAAGTGGAAAGGAAGGGCCGATATGAGAGATATCTAGGGGGTGTGGTGGCAGCTGACATTTCTCTGGGATCCTTTAAGCACGCTCCTAAGGGGGTCTCGACCAGGGGCAGGGAGCTCCAGGCTTGTCATCACTAGAGGGTCCTACCGGCCCATTTCACCAAAGCCTCGTGGCAGCCTGATTCTGCATTTCCAGCAGAAACAAAAACGTTGTAAAAAAAACAAATTTAGGACGAAAGCAATCAGCAAGGCCCCATCGCGCTAAATCCAGAACAGAATAGCACACCGAGGATTGGGATAAAACACTGACCCAGAAACAGAGGAAGGAAAACCACCATTCTAACCACAGATGCAATCACATAAGGTTTATATTAATTTGTGTTTTATCGTAAGATAATTTTTCATATTTTTTCCCCCCAAACCCTGCTGGCAAGACAATGTTTCTTTGTAATTTGTAAGGAATATAATTCCATTGTCACAGGGAAATGTTAAGATGGAGAAGTTCTAATGTAATTAAGATGTGGCCTGTTGTGTTATTAATAGAACAGTCAATTGATTCCATAAGATGGTTGAAAAAACTGCCAAAGCATTATGTAATAAATGTAGTGCTGCCTTCAGCAGAATTAAAGGGGACCTGCAATGCTATTTTTACATTTGGGGGTTAAAAAGAATCGGCATTGATGAGTGCATTTCAAGCCACAGTGATCGTAAAATGTACACAGTAATGTGTAAAACCTCTTCCTGTTTACATTGCCAAATTGACTAACCTTCCAGGTGTGCACAGTGCCGTATTCTGCGGTTCTGAACGAGGCAACAAAACGTCCTGTAATGTGAAGCTCTCCCATTACCTTGTCAACAAGAAGGCTTGTGAATACATCCCTTTTAATCCAATAGAAATATTGCTCTCGACTGTGTGGGTTTGCCGACAAATACTTCTTACTTGTTAACTCTGCATACAGATCACATTGGACATTCTGAGGTGAAATGTCCGCTGCACGACCTGCCCTTATTTGCTTGCACATCACGTTACAGTAGTCATCACAGTGACTAGTGAGCAGGAAGGGCTGCTTCACATCACTGTTCTCACCAACTCTCACTCTTGCCCATGGCGAGACCAGCAGACCAGAGACAACCGTGGCAAAGTGCTTCCTTAGGAATTAAATGTATTTTTTTTTGCAATACTGCCAATTAATGAATGGTCTTACCGAGACTGAAAAACCATTCTGAGAAACTGGGACGGCAGTTCCCTTTTCCCAGACCCGCAGACACGCCGAGTTCCCTCCCTGGTGCGCTTATCTGCCCATCTCTACCTGCAGCCCACAGCCAGAGTTCAAACAAAGCCTCTCCTGTTGGAGAGCTCAGCTGACCTAGTGGGCAGGGAGAGAAACTTGGCAGTTCCCTCATCGAGCCATTGAAAAACACACTTGGCAACCTGAACCAGGGCCCTGTTTAGAACAGCGCTGAGGGATAAAGATGCATCACGCACAGCGCGGAGATTCGCGGTAGAGCTGTGCACAATACATCGCGACACATGCAAGAAACAATTAGCTATAATGGTCTTAATCAATAAAAACGCAAGCATACAGCCTTAACTAACATTATCCATAACCTTCCAATTACTGCCATCAATTTACCTTCTTTGTCCTTTTCTAAATGAGCTCTTTTTTTGGTGCTGTTAATTCAATTCCCTTTGTGTGTGCGTTTGGCAGCAAGAGCGCTGCTGGTATTCTCAAGATTCTGGAAATGTAATGGATGGGAGCCTTATACCTCCCACATGGAAACTTCGTCAGTAGATGGTCACTGAGCTCTGAAAATATGTTCAGCCATGTGGTGTGTTTATACGCAAATACCCGAGAAGAATGCTAGTCTAAACAAGGGCAGAGCTGTGGCCCGGCTGATCGGAGCTGAAAAAATAATGAGTCGGTTTGTACAGGAGGAAAGTCCCAGGTGGATCAGTCAAATTAATAATTAACACATCGTTTATGTGTACAGCAGCTACGTCCCTGCAGACCGAGAGGATATCCTTGTAAGCAAGCAGCCAGACCAGACAAACTCAGTGTCGGGCACTTTGTGCGCCTCACAACCACGAGAACTTCCCCCTCTGCCTTCGTTTTTAGGTTAAATTCTTGAATCCACACCCACATCCGTCTGCACTGCTCTGTAGAAGAAGAGTCTGAAAACGCCGGTTCCTAAGATCTCATTTGTCCTTTGTTCCTGTGCCTCTGAAAGACTCATTAAACTACCCGTTTTATCACAACAGGAAAAATACTGAACGCAATGTCTGGTTCCCTGTTCTGACCAACAGGATATCCCAACACATGCCTCCAGGGCATATTAGGACTGGGAAGGAGACCAGATGCTATCTGCTCTGGAGATAACCGTATGCATTACGGTTAATTTACCCGGCCGACTCCTTTATTTCTCCAAAAGTGGCTTTGGTTTGTGCCAGCTTATGCAGCTGGTTATTTTACAGGCGCATTCTGAAAGAAGCACCTTGCTCAGGGGAGCAACAGCACCTCCCAACCTGGGATTCGAACCCACAACCTTCCAGTTACAAATCCAGAGCCCTGAGCACTGTGCCGCACTGCTGGTTTCTGGGCTCGGTCTTGGCTACAACCAACACGCGCAAACAGATGAAGGACAAACCACAGGAAAGATATTTCGGAATGCTGCATGCTTGGTACCAGAACTGTGCGGCAGCTGATTTAAAGCATAAAGCTGCTTTCCTGAACACAAGCTCTTATGTTCTCCTAGTCCACACAACTGCTGGTGTTCTGTTCTCACTACTGTTGGTGTGAGGACCCCCAGAGCTTTTTTTCCCTAAACCGGAATTATGATTCTTATGGCGATATTAGCAGCAAGCAGAAAACAGAGGTGGAATCTCGGCAAGCTATGTTTCTCTGGGCCAGGAGGACAGCTGGCTGGGTGGGATAAGCAGCTATCCCAGCAGGATGAGTGGACACTGGAATGCGAGGCCTGGAGATCAGTGCGCTTTATTTCTTAGTGCTGCACCAGGCATGGGGGATGTCCAGGCTTCGCACACTAAAAATGAAGGCGGCGAGCTTACTTGCTCAAACATGAGCCAGTCCATGTGAAATAAATGCCCTTTTGCCCTAAAATCAGAGAAAGCACATCGAAAACGC